GTCGAATTGTAGGGAAATAGTGTAAAATTCCGTAGCAGTTTTAGGAAACTTCGAAAAATCATATCTTTTGATCCGTAAGTCGGATTTGACCCCCCGTTCGAAGCGTTAGGAAATTTCATGGCATAGCATTTGGCCTGGATTGGCGACGGTTGTGCCTGTATTGGTGTTATTTGGAGTGTTGGCTCCTAGATGGGTTCGGGGTGTTGGCCCTGTCCCGAGTTTTGGAGTGTTGGCTCCTAGATGGGTTCGGGGTGTTGGCCCTGTCTCGAGTTTTGGAGTGTTGGCTCCTAGATGGGTTCGGGGTGTTGGCCCTGTCCCGAGTTGTGGAGAGTTGTCTCCCAAATTGGTACCACATGCATATGCACGGTTGAGTCGCATTGTTAAGTCGCATAAAGTCGCATAATTACGCTAGTTGTATGTTAATGTTGTTTATGTGAGATATGGATTACTCGCAGTTGTTGTCGATGATGTTTATGATTTCGAAACCTATAATGTTGTGATGAGTTCCGACATGTTTTCTATCATGCTTTATGTTATATTATTGATATCTCACCCTTTTCCGTTGTATGTTACCTCCTCTGGTGGTAATTTGCAGGTAGTCAAGAATAGAGCGTAGTTCCCGTTAAGGTGTCGTTGGTCGCTCTGATACGTAGTACTCTTGGGGGGATGAACGATTATTTATGTTGTTTATTTGATGTGTTCTTGTTGTTGAATTTTACTAAGTATTTTAGCTGAATTGGTTGTTTTTTTGTTAATGCACCGAATGCTGGTTGTACGCACTAAGCCGAAGAATCGGTAGTGCTGAATTTTGATGGAAAACTAGTTGTTTTAATGAATATATGCAAGCTGAAGTACTTGCTGAATTTTAATGGAGTTTTGGTTGTAATTTCTGGTATCACGTTGATTTTCATAAATGTTGAAAGTGCATTATGTTCCGCTGCAAATGAATATGTTGCTATGTAATTAAGATGTTATGTGAGTTGTTATTAGTTGTTCATCCAAGAGTATGTGCTATGTATCATCACTGAATGCATGTTGCCTAGTTAAATTAAATGGTAAAATGCATGATTCTGCTAGCTGAAAAATGTGACGCCCAGGATTTTGTCTGTGTGACGACCGTCATGCATACAAATTTCATGCACTCTGATTTTGATTTATTTTAAATATGCCTTGGGTAGGAATGGGGTGTTACAGTTATTCTTGAGACAAGCCAACATGTTGAACACAGACTATGTGTTAAACACTTGTATGGAAATTGGAGAAAGAAATATCATGGGATATTTATGAAGGAGGCTTTATGGCGGGCAGCTAGAGCCACAATAATTCCTGCATGGGAAAAAGCAATGAATCATATGAAAGAGCTCAATGTCAATGCTTGGAAATACATGATGGATGTCCCAGCTACATGTTGGACTCAGTCTCATTTCAAAACAGACACACAATGTGATTTGTAAGTCAACAATATGTGTAAGGCTTTTAATCGTGCAATTTTAGAGTATAGAGATAAGTCGATCATTTCACTACTTGAAGGAATCAAATATTACATAACAGTGAGAATCTCTTCTCAAAAGGAGAAATTAAGTAGGTACACAGGTGTTACAAGTCCTAGCATTCAAAAAGTCTTGGAAAAAACAAATACGACAGCAGAAGGATGGATTGCAACATGGCATGCAGATGATAACTTTGTTATATTCGGAGTTTCAAACGGTGTTGAGACATATGCTGTGAACTTGCTTCAACAAAAATATGGTTGTAGGAAGTGGGATTTAAGTGGAATACCATGTTGTCATGCTATTGTATGCATATGGTATAACAAGAAGGAGCCCGAAGAGCACGTTTCATCTTTTGTGTATGTTTACTAAAATCATTGTGTCATATTGTCTAGGAAATGTATTGTTCTGGCTACTTATAGCCGTATCATTATGCCAACCAATGGTCCACAACTATGGCCTGTTAATGTTGCTAACCCAATCAGCCCTCCAGTCATGCGAAGATCTATCGGTCGTCCTAAGAAGAATCGTAACAAGGCGAATGATGAACCGAGGATAAGAAATACACTGCCTAGAACTCTTCAAACTGTCAAGTGCAAGAAATGTGGGAGTTTTGGCCATAACAAAAGAATGTGTAAAGGGAAGCGAGCTGTGGAGAGAGCGATTCCTAAAGGTGACAACAAAAAATCTAAAAAAAAGGGTGACAAGTCGGGCAAGGAAGCGAGACAAACTGTTATAGACGGAGGATCGCAAGCACCGCCACCAACCCAAGAATAGTTCTATATTTTGCTTTAATTTTTGTGATGCTGCTATAGCATATGTTATGACCAAAAAACTCAATGTCTTTTTTGTTAAAATATGTTGTCTTTAATGTTGCCTTCAATGTAATGACACATCAGTCTTGATACATCAGCCTTCAATGTTATGTTATATAGTGTTATTATATAATGTTGCCTGTTATGTAGTTCTTTTAAGGTTTCAGTTTTTGACAACACTGAACTAAACTGGTTGTTATGTAATAAACTGCATTGGTAAAGTTAACAACACTGAACCAATTTTTGGCAGCACTGAACTAAACTGGTTGTTATGTAATAAACTGCATGTTATGTAGTTCTTTTAAGGTTTCAATTTTTTACAGCACTGAACCAATTATAGTTTTGACAGCACTGAAATAAATTGCCTGTTATGTAACCCAATTATAAGTTAACAAGTTTCAAAATACATAATTTGCGTATAGTATAGTACTAATTATGCATAAACTAGAATATGGCCAAGCAAAGTTATAGATTGCACTTTTTGTGATTAAATTAAGGACTAAGCAGCAAGGATCTGGTGTGATGCAATTGAGGAAGGATCTGGTGAACCTGTGAATAAGTTAATGACCATATGGACTAAGCAGCAAGGATATCCTGTTGTAATGGTAGAAGAGAAAAATACTGATAATTTGTGAATTATTACTTTGACAGGCATTTTGGATGATACATATGCATTTTATAATGCTCTCAAAGAATCATTGACCTCCTTGCTTAACTTGATGGCAGCTTATAGGGAGGAAGATGATTATACTGTGCTCTCTAACCTGATATCAGTAATGTTATCTTCCCAATATTGCTCATTAGTTACATAGGTTATTTATTGGATATAATTTCAGTTCTCTTGTTTTACAGATAAGTTATAAAGTTCAAAGTATTGCAGCTGATGCAGTTTCAAACTTACTAGATTATTTCAAACAGTTTTCTATTAATGTTCTCCAGTACTCTGCAGAGTAAAGTTGGTTTTTATCTACAGAGTAAATTCTGTTATGTAACCTGTTATAAGACCCTGTTATGTCACCTGTTATGTAACCCAACACAAATATGTTTCAGACTGTTTGCACATAAAATTTGTTTCCAATTTAAAATTTGTTTCAGACTGTTTGCACATAAAATTTGTTTCAAACTATTTGCACATAATACAAGGTTATGCTCCATAAACATCATTTGAAGACAATCAAGGTAACTACAACATAACTCTTCATTAACACAGGCAATCATAACTCTTCATTTGAAATTAGTTCATTTGGAAACTACATAAACATCAAAGTAACTACAACATTTGACATTACATCATTTGAGTACATGTGTTGCAACTAATGCAAACACAATTAAAAAGACAAACATCAAAGATAACCCCACAAAATAATACATAAACCTAATTTTCATCTTCAACAAATCTTCATTTTTCTTGATGTCCTTAATCACATCCATGAGCTCCTCATTCTTGTCTTTCAAAGATCTTATCACATCTTTAGCACGACTGCTCATGTCTTCATCAACCCACTGAAAGTAATTACATCTTTTTTCCTCATTACCTTAAAATTACCACACCCATGAAATTTTCTTCCGGGATTATCGTATGTCCATGACGTCATCAACGGTGACTCAAACTCACACCAACATCTATTACCTATTTTTCTTATACCAGACCCATATTGGTTTGTTGAGGAAAAAGAAAATTTTGTTTCGGACATGTGGGTAAGTAGGAGGCACGTTGGGTTCGAAATTAATGGCTAGATAAGGGCTGGTATGGGTTTGTTGAGGAAAGGAGGACTGGGTTTGAAGAAATGGCTACAGAAATGGCTGAAGAAATGAGTTGTTCTTTGTGAAAAAATAGGGGTTGATGAATGGTTGAAGAAATGAGTTTGAAGAAATGGGTTGAAGATGAAAGAGCTGAGGTTTTATATTTAACTTTTATTTTATTAATTTTCTGAAAATGAAATAATATTTAAGTTAATGACATGAAAGATATTAAAATTAAAAAGATCATTTTAGCTGACATGGAAATGCCACATCACCATTCAACGCGTCACCTCATTAAAAACACGACTTAAAATAACAAGGGGACTAATATCAATTTTGAAACCTAAAAAAGAACCAAAATCATTATTTTTAAAATGGGAGGATCAAAACTATAAAAAAAAAACACAAAATAGAAAGATCAAAGTTGCAATTAAGCCCAAAAATTAAATCTATTTTTTAGTCATTTCTCGCGTTGTCTCGGTATCTACTCTTCACATTTAATTTTCCTTTCACATTTTATTGTTAGAACCAAACAAAACCTAGGAAAGATTGAAAAGTGTAATTTTTTTGTTGAGTTATTATAACGAGGAGTCAAACATGAATTTAACACAGCTACAATGCAGATACTACTAGTATTAAACATATCATGAGTTCCCAATGGTCCGACATTTCACATCATCACAAAAATAATTGATCATCAGCCTACTCCGTGCACCCGTCCCCACACTACCCTACCCTCCCTTTCTTAATGGGCTTAGGCCCAAATAATCCACCCTCACGTACGACGTCGTAAAGAAAACTCTCAATAGTACATTACATTCCACCGTAATCATCGATCTGAGAACAGAAACTGAAGAGTGAGTGGGAAAACATTTTCAATTTCATCTTTTTCTTGTAATAATAAAGCTAGAAAACAAAATCCCCCAACCCGAAAACCCGAAACGAAACCGAAATGGGCAAAGATCTGAGCGACGATCAAATTTCTTCCATGAAAGAAGCTTTCACTCTATTCGACACCGACGGCGACGGCAAGATCGCTCCATCGGAGCTCGGAATCCTCATGCGATCTCTCGGCGGAAACCCGACTCAAGCGCAACTCAAATCCATCGTCGCAGAAGAGAATCTCACTTCACCGTTCGATTTCGCTCGGTTTCTGGATCTCATGTCCAAACACATGAAACCTGAGCCGTTCGATCGTCAGTTACGCGACGCCTTCAAGGTTCTCGACAAGGATTCCACTGGATTCGTCTCCGTCAACGAGCTTCGTCACATTCTCACCAGTATCGGTGAGAAGCTTGAGCCTGCTGAGTTTGATGAATGGATCAGGGAAGTTGATGTTGGTTCTGATGGCAAGATTCGCTACGAGGATTTCATTGCTAGAATGGTTGCTAAGTGAGGCCAGATCCTTCTATTCAAATCGCTTTTTCTAGTGTTTCGGTATTTTCTATGTTTAATTTGTAATTTCCATTCGGTTTCTTCAAGTGGTTCAATCAATTAACCTAGTTGTGTTTGTTTATTGTTTTTGCCTGAAACGCTTTTATGCTATGTAGCTAACCTTGGGTGTGGTTTTTGGAAAAGTTTTCTTGTTCAAATTGGCTACTTGTTTGGGTTGATTTGTATGATGAGATCTGATTCCAAGGTTGTCAATATATGCTGTAATTGAAACGGAGTTACTGTTGAGAATATATGTGTATCTAATCCTTTGTTTCTTTTTATATAAAGTTTGTGTTTCTGATTTTGAATGTTCTGAAATCCGCAAGTAAATAACATTGTTGCTATCTTACTAGTAATCAAACCCTATTTGTAAGGAGTTGTGCACCGAAACGATAAACCAACACAAGGAAAAGGGAAAGACGGGATGAAATTGATGAAAGTAGCGTGTTTTATTGATAAAAATGATAATAATGGAAGAGAGGAAGCCTACTCTGACTCTAGTAGAAAGGGGCTATGGCAACTATGGTTTACTAACTTGAATGGTTTGATGCTCAGAAAGTAATGGAAGAAATTCAGAATGAGCTGTTTGAGAGGCATAGTGGCCGAGTTACAACAAGAAAAAACATGTGTTTTGTATTTGTATCGGCCCTTCTTGCTGAAGGAAGAAGAAATACATATAATTCAGAGTAGAAACAATTATTCTTTATTAGGAAGTAAAAATGGAAAATTTGTTATTGAAGTGATTTTATTGCTTTAGAACTTATATTCACAAAGATGGAAGGTAGTGGTCTGGTTTGAATAGCCTTTGAACATAAGGATTAGATGGATAAGTGTTGCTTCAATTGAATCTACGCTTGGTGGTGATGTTGTCATGTTTTTTTTCTTCTTGAATACATGCTTTCCAAATTTTAAACTATTTAGTTTAGGTCCTAAATATGAAGTCTAATAGTTGGTTTCTTGCATAAAAATGTTATTTGTTTGTGATTTTTTCCCGAAGAATTCCTAAAAGTTAAGTTCAGGTAAAGGAAGAAGCCATTCTGTCCTATAGAGCTATAACAAACAAGTTTAGAGATGGTCTTTCAATCTTTGGTCAAGTGTAAAGAAAGAGACTATTTCCATATATATATGCAATCTATTTGACATACTGCTTGAGTGTCATACACCATTTTGGAGAGACCTGGGCATGGCATCATACCCCTCAATTTTGTAATGTTTGCATGTATGTAATTCATTTGTAGACGTCAACAAAATGAAATCTGTTGTCACTTTTCAGATAGGTAAAGAAAATTAGAAAATCTTTAATGTTGTACTCTGGCTCCACCTTTTGCATTGTACAACACCAGTGCCATCACAGGGCCCAAATTTGTTTACGGTTAAACTGTGGTTAAATAAAGTTCTCTAAAATGTTTGTCGTTGTTAACCCTAGTTAAATAGAGCATCTATTTTTTTTTTCAATATTAAATTGCTACTAATCTACCCGTGGCCTCCAAAAGTTTGAGATGGGTCTGAACAAGACCTTGTATCATATGTCATGCAATGAGGTTTGTTGTGTTCTTGAAGTTGTGTTTTTGCATGTGTAATTAATTGGTTGTGTGTGATTGCAAGAGGTAGAATTGGTAACTGTTGTGGTTCCACAAATGTTTGCATGTTCTTTATATGTGTCTGTAACGAGTGAATAGAATATTGGATGATGCAGAACAAAGCCCACTTGAAGAGATGGAATGCTTGTATGTAGAACCTGTATTGAATAAGAACATGCATGCCTAATGCAAGGTTCTTACTCACTGAAGGACACTGTATGCTGATGACATGTTTGAGTTATGGATATGTTAGCCTTGTATGATTTTTAGTTAGAATTTCATAAATAACTAATTATTGAACTGAAAGATAGTGTCAGTATAAAATTCAATCTGATACCCTAAACTTATGACCGCGCCCTAGAGTATTCTATCATCAGGTCAAGTTAAAGTAGAGTTGAAAAGTAGTAGCGAAAGGAAAACATTGAATGTCAATAGTAGTCAATCAAACCAATCATTTTAGACATTTCCTAAACATTTGTTGGATTTATTGAACAATAGTGCAGATGAAATGTGACTTAATGATTGATAATTATTCCTTCACTCGGGTGTATGTATGAGCACTTGTGTGTTTATTTTACATATAAGTTTCTTATTAGATGTACTCCCTCCATTCCTTAAGCAAATTTTAACTTTTTTAAATAAGTGATTGAATAAATATATAAAGTTTTGTTTGGTAAGATTCGAAAAAGAGCTTTTTAGCTTTTAAGCCTATATTAATGAAAAAACTATATTTGATAATTGTCTTTTAATTTTTAACTTGAATTTTTTTTACTTAAAAAGGACTTTAATTTTGAAGGATGTCATTGATGTTCCTGAAATTAAAAAGAATTTTATTTTTGGGTTTCTTCTGAATGACGGGGTAGATTTGCATACTATTACTAAGAATAATATTTTTATTAATGAAATTGAAAATCAGTAAAAATAAAAGTGAAGTGGTGATATGTTTAAGACTTTTTGAATGAAATTGAAAATAATTTTAGTAAGAAAAGTAAAAGGTTTCAAAATGATAGGAAATTAAGTATGATTTTAGTTTATTTAATAAAATTTGAAAATATAGAATTATAAATAAAACAATTGTATCATTCTCTTTTGAAAGGAATTGTAAAGTAGAACAAACAATAAAACTCTTACTAAATTAATCGTTGTTATTGTGTTGAATTATGCTGGTGAGGAATAAAATTTTATTGATTGTTTATTATATTCTGAATAGAGTTTTCAAACCTAAAAATAAGATATCATTATGAGATATTGAAGAAAAGACAACCAAATTTATCTTAATTTAGAACTTGAGGTTGTATGACTTATGTCAGAATTTTGGATCTTAAGCGAGTTAAATTTGCTAGTAGAGCCTATTAATGTGTATTCATTTGGTATGCAACAAATAATAAGGCATATAGGTGTTATGACCTAATGCTAAAGTGACCATCAAATAAAATCATGTTGAATTCTATGAAGATAAACTTTCTTTCAAAATGAGAAATAGTGGGAGCATTGAATAAAATTGCATTCCCATGATAAGAAGCACCAAAAGTAAAGAAGAAATAGAAACAAAACTTCGACAAAGTAAAAGAGTGAGATTTCTTGAAGAGTGTGTGTCCGATTATATGGCCTATATAGTAAATGAAGATCCAATGTGCCATCTGTGGATGCAAATTTTTGGAAATATGCTATTAACGATGAGATATATTATCTAGAATCTAACAGGACCTGACACTTAGTCGGTTTTCCCATAGTTGTAAATCAATCGGTTGTAAATGAATTTTGAAAAAGAAACTAAAACTTGTTGACGTAGTTGATAAGTACAATGCTCGCCTTGTGACCAAATATTTTAGGAAAACAAAAAATATAGATTTCTTCAATACTTTTAATCTGGTCATTAGTATTACATCTATTAGGGTACTAGTTTAAATGACTTCTTTTTATAACTTAGTAGTACACTGAATGAATGTTAAAACAAATTTTTTAAACAATGACTTAGAAGAAGAAATCTATATGGATCAACTAGAAGGGTTTGTGATACATGGGTAAGAAAACAAGGTCTGTAAGTTAGATAAGTCTATGTATGGTCTAAAGCGAGCTCCAAAACAACGACATGAAAAAGTTGATAATTTAATGATATTAAATAGTTACAAAGTGAACGAAAGTGACAAATGTGTTTATTACAAATCTAAAAATGACATTTGCACTATCATATGTCCATATGTAGACGACTTACTCATATTTGTATCAAACATTCATGTCGTTAATGATATGAAATCACTGTTGTGTAACTTTTATATGAAAGATTTCGGAGTAGCCAATATGATTCTTAGAACCAAGACTATTAAATTTCGGAGTAGCCAATGTGAATCTAACAAAAAGAAATATATCACTATACAAAGATATTTCTGGGGGAACTGAAATAGGGCGACAGTGTCCCTCACCATATATTTGCCCAATGACGTGCCACCCAAGGTATAATCCTCACGTAGCAGGGGGCTCTTCTTAAAGGGGGACGTGGATACTGACTATTATTTTAGATCATAACTATATGAATAAATTTATGCTCATGACTTCCTAGGAAATATGTCGTCTATAATTTCCTTAGTCAAGAGGGATCAACTACCACTTCTTAGAGGTTCCTTAAATCCTACACCCATAAATCTCTATAAATAGCTCAACCGTAGGGTTGAGAGAGACATATCATAATAACACATAACATGATTTTTTATACGTTCCACATAACGAGGAGAGTAGGGAGCGAGAAAAGCAAAGTTATATTCAATTACGAGTGACAAAGGGGTGTCGCCCTTTACTGGTGACCCTGATTCTCTCACCCTTGGCTGGTCTTTTACAAATATATCACTATATTTGTAAAATAGGTGTGTTCAAATTTTGAAATCCAAATGATATGAAAGACATTTTGAAGTTTCTATCGGGTGTGTGATCACTACCACCTAGGGTGTAATGAACAACACCCTAAAAAGGGGATTTCTTCTCCCATTCTTAGATGTGCTCATACACCCTTGTGAAAAAACAAAATTGTCCCTAGAATTCAAAAATGTGCTTTCGGATGCATTCGATTCCACACTCAATCCATTCCTAAGTGAGTCATACCCTCATTTTTCCAAAAAAATAATACGGAAATGTATCTTTGTATAAATTAGGAAAGTGCACCTCTGGACGAGGTTTTGATCAAATATGCGTCAGACCCTCCCTCTTTCTCTTTTCCAATTAAACAAACAAAAACTCTTCTCAGTTCCAATTATTTTTACCAATCCAAGTTTCATTTCTATTCCATTTAATCTAATTAGCTTATCAATTTCTACTCTTAAATTCAAGCAATCGTAGTGCTCAATATCAAGTACACATTTAGTAAGTTTTTCAATTCAAGTTTTTTCAC